CACGCGATATGTTGTACTACTAGACGATATTTGTGACAACTGGTTAACTAGGTCTTTGAGAAAGGCGCTTTTTACCAACTACGCCTATTGTATTAGTGATATAGTTATAAATAAAATTTTCGATTTTATTTTTTTAGGTTCGATGCAAAGCTGAAAGGGTATTCATTGAAGGGTTCTGCGCAAAAACAAAATAAATCCATTTTTAGCTTCGATGCGAAGCTGAGAAGGTATTAATTTTACTGTGATGTGTTTTTTTTTTGTGTCTGTATACGCTCAATCTCAGATCTCGCTGGACCGATTTTAATGAAAAATATGTCAAAAGATCACAAATCGTATCTAGTCGAAGACATTACCCTCAAAATTTGGAAAAAAATCCCTCGTTCCCTTAAACGGGGGAAATCCCCCTAAAAATTACAAATTTAAAATCGCTAATTTTCGATATTTTTTCAATTTTTTTTACTTAAAATTGCCATAACTCTTTTAAAAATTACCGAATTAATATATTTTTTTTTTTATAGATACATTAGGTATTCACCTATCATTTTATATATTTTGGTGAACATTTGACCCTTTACAAGCCCACAGGAGGGGTTTCAAAGTGGTAACTTTTTTAAAAAAAGTAACTTTTTCAACTTAACTTTTGAAAATTTTCCGGAAAGACTGACACTTTTATATATACCTTAAATTAAAGATTATGTAATATACTTTAATTTGAAAAAAAAAAATTTGACCTCTGGATTTGTCTTCATGGTAAAAATAACTACCGTATTCAAAAATATGCTATTTTTGTGTGTAAAATTCTGGGTTTTGTATTTTATTTTAAAATACCTGACAAGGGGAGTACAGATTTTCATAAATATTATATAAATAAATAATTGATATAGCATAGAAAGTTAAACTTCTTAAATTTTTTTGCTTTTTGAAGACGACAAAAATAATTTTAATATTTGAACTNTTTGCTTTTTGAAGACGACAAAAATAATTTTAATATTTGAACTAGCTTAAATAGCCACTTTTTTCATTCGATGTTAGTGACGTACGGTTGCCGAGTCGGTCAAACTTTTGTTTCATGCGATTGGGGTACAAGGTTCTAACCCGTGTATAATAATTATTATAGATTTATAGATTATAGAATTATTACTTGATTATTATGAATTTCTCTTATTGCAGCTAGATTATTTTTAATGTTATTTAATCTCATAGTTTTAATCTAAAATATAACATTTCAATGTTCTATATAAAAAATAAAACCCAGCACAGTGAGGATGTGGCATAGTTGGGTTTAGTATAGATGATATCTGACAGTGATTAAAATCACTATCATAAAAAACGCTTCGATGCAAATCTGTAGATAGTGTTTAATTTTAAAAAAATTGGTGGATTATTCCAAAAGCTACATGATCTACTATTTCCTTAATTATATTCTGATTAAGTTTTTTGTTTTATAAGTGTAATATATAAATATATATATAATATATAAAATATAAAGGGAAATGGTCCGATTTAAAAAAAAAGTATGTCGCATAAAAGAAGAGTATAAATAGTACTTATCTTAAAAAAATTTTAATGACCCATACATTTTTCAAAAAGTTATACTATATTAAAGTTAAAAATATAAAAACGAATTTTTTTATAAAAATCGTATTTTTTTATATAATTTTAATGTCTGTTTTCACTATGAAAATAAAATAAAGTCCGAAATTTTTTTTCCTATAATAAAGTATATTACATTAGATTTAATTTAAAATATATATAACAGTGTCAGAGTTTTTGGATCACTTTCAAAAGTTACGTTGAAAAAGTTAATTTTTTGTGAAAAAGATGTCATTTTGAATCCCCCCTCCTGTGGACAGGTATAAGGTCAAATTTATAAATAAAATAATACAAAAATAATATAAACAAAATGATAGGTAAATACCTCAGAAATCTATAAAAAAAATATTGTTTTAATCCATACATTTTTAAAAAGTTATGACAGTTTTAAGTAAAAAAAGTTGAAAAAATTTAAAAAATTTTAAAAATTAGCGATTTTTAAATTTGTAATTTTTTTTGGAAATTTTCCCCATTTACGGGGAACGAGGGTAAATTTTTCGATTATTGAGGGTAATGTTTTCGACTAGATACGATTTATAATCTTTTGACGTATCGTTGAAAGAAATCGGTTCAGTGAGAGCTGAGAAAAAGTGGTAACAGACACAAAAGAAAACACATTATAGTAAAATTAATACCTTCTCAGCTTCGCATCGAAGCTAAAAAATTCAATAGTATACTAAACATTATTAAAAATATTATATTCTTTCAAAATATACTTGATAAAAATATGTGAATAAAATATATTTATTACATGTCAATAATTCTCATAAAAATGAAAGGTTCAGCAATATAACAATGTAAAATTACTATTATTTTTATTGTTTAAATAATTCATAGAAATTTAATCATTTTTGTAGTAAAAAAAAATCAAGTTGATTAAATAGTACTTTANAGTAAAAAAACCCAGCACAGGGAGGTCGCGGCACAGTGGTGACGTGGCATAGTTGGATCAAGTATAATGATATCCAAAAGCTACTTGATCTGCTGGTTCCTTATTAATATCTCGATTAAGATAAAGTATGTCGAATGAAAAAAGGTTTATTANAATGTTTTATTCAGAGTTGTAGAAAATTATTTTGATGTAAATTTTTTCTTATATTTTTAGAAATAAAAAACATTAAAAACATATCTTTAAGAGAGCACAAAAAAATAGGGTTATTAATATTTTTATCACTTTTTTGAGGTGAATATTATAAGCATATTTTAAACCCTAAAAATCAGTTTTTTCTTATAATTAATCTTATATTGTCCAAAAGTTTATATAGGAACAAAGATAAAAAATCACGTTTTGTAAGATACATTTATTTTAATATAAATGAAAATTATTAAAAACAATTATAAATATATGTAAAATATACAATCCCACATATTCATAAAGTGAAGATTTATAAAACTGGAAAAAAATTATAATTTTTTAATAATAGTTAGATTTACCGAAACAAAACACTGATAACTTTTTGATTACTTCAAAATTTTTAAAAAAGTATAGATAAACACACTTATATATATATATATATATATATCGAAAAAGATACATGAGATTTTTGTATTCACAATTTCTTATTTAATCAAACCCAAAATCTTTGCAAAATTTCTGAACACCTTCTTCAACTGTTTTTTTCATGTCCTGATGATATGGGTTAGGATAATACTTTTCATAATTATCAGAAAGATTTTTGAATTGATTAATGTACTCATCGACAAATGGTTTATAATCTGATGTAGTTATTAGATCTGAACGCATTTGGATATCAAAAATATATTTGTTAACCTCTTCTAATTTATCTAAAATAGCAAATAAATAACTTGAGCTATTNAAAAATATATTTGTTAACCTCTTCTAATTTATCTAAAATAGCAAATAAATAACTTGAGCTATTTTTTTTTAATTTCTCAAGATTATCATCAAGTAAGAATTCACTAATTTTTTTGTAGTATTTTGGGTTTTCTTTAAGTAAAACATAAACAGGACTTTTAGGTTTAAAATAATTCAGTGCTTTAGTCATACATTGTATTAAAGGTTCAAACATTTTAATCATTTTTTCTAACTTTCTAAATTCTGTTAATACAAACTCAATACTTCCTGTTTTATCTTCAAGACAATCTAAGGATATAATATGTAAAATTATATATACTTCAATTAGTAATGTTCCATAAAGATTATTTAGTACATATCCGGCATTATATTCCTTATAATAGTCATTCGAATCATTGAATGCTTGAAAAAGCATATTTTTATCATGTGAATTCGGAAGTATTTTCATTAATTCTGTCCATCCAGGATTATTTAGTATATCTTGTATATCGTAAAAAAATATTTTATTTAAGTTATTCGAGTAACTACAGCAAATTTTTATAACAATTATAAACATTATTAAACTCATTTTCAATTATTCGAGAGTAAATAAAAAGTACACAACTTTTTTATAATTTAAAACTTTAAAAGTATAATGTCTGTAATTTTTTACCAAGATATATATTTATATAAATAAAACAAAAAAATCGTTTTATGTGTTCACATTAATAGAACATGGTGGCAAAAATATATTTGCAATTTAAAATATATTTTTAATATAATGTATATTTGTATAAACAATATAGTAAATGATTTATCATTTCTCGATTATTGTTTTTCTCAAAATCTATTTTTTATAATTTGTAAAAAATATTTTTACTTTAAATATAATTACTGAAAAATTTATATCATTTTTATATTAAAAAAAAAAATTATTTATCTCATAAAAGAAAAACAATTTTTTCCTATTATTTTAGTGGTACAGTTATAAGTAATGTTTGATAAAATTTTGAATTTTAAATCTTTTAGGTTCGATGAAAAGCTGAGAAAGTATTAATTAAAAGGCTTTGTTGTTGCTTGTTGTTTGTGCTTGCGCCACTAGTTTTGAGAAGCGAGACGTATTGATGAATGGTGTGGATATAATTATGACCAACCGGATAGAGTAACATCTAGTGGGTAGCAGTGGTGAGTATAGTATGAGAGCAAATGGCGTGAGATGTGTATATTAGGAATGTAAATGCATAAAAAGGGAATTATTAAAAGGAGCGATTGTCGGTGTACGCGCGCAATTAGGAATCCAAGTACATGTACGGCGGAAGATTCGATGGTACGATAAGTCTTTATCGTAAGTCTCATTCAGTGGACTTATGACTTTTAAATAGACGAGTGAATAGGTGAAATCTTGACCACCTGCGGTAACTAAGCCACATTAGCGGACCACCACTGCTATTATCGATACCGGACGCTTTGCTTAAGTAAGCCAGTACCATTAACAGTGCGGCAACCAAACGCTTCACTAAGCCTCGCATTACTATTGATTTATTATTATATTTTTATTAACGTTGATACTACTTACGCCGCAATAATGTAGTTGACACTGGTTAGGATGGTAGATACCTGTGGGTCGTTTATTATTGATAAACAACAACAGATTATTTTTAAAAAGAAACTGCAAAAACGAACGCAATTAGTAATAATATTCGCACAATATCGTGGCACTTTCACTGGTGTCGGCGACGCGGTGCCCGTCATGATTATCGGACGTCAAAAGTTGACAGCGTTCATGACGACGGTGTGCTGGTTCGTCGTGTTCCGTTATGCGACACGTCCGGAGCGGTGGCCAACGTCCTCGACGACGTCACTTAAACGACGTGAAGAAGACTACTTCATATTATTATATTTATTAGTATATTTGCGGCGGCCGTAAGACACTTGTCTGACTTTGTACCTTGGCGTATGGCACGCGGTGTTGGTCAGTCAAACTACCATATACTTGTAGTAAGGCGACCGTTGACAAATGTGGCGCGGGTATCCGTGTATCACGAAGCGACGTGGGACCTTGTCAACTTGTTTATAAAATAATATTTTTTTTATAATGTTTAAATTAAATTTGTGTTTATAAATAATCAAAATAAAAGATTTGGGTTTTTTTATATAAGAGACAATAAGGGTTACCGTTATACTGTGCAAATACAAGATAACTCCATTTATCTCATATTAAAATAACATTTTGACGGTTCTAAATTAAGATTTAAACGACAAATACATCTGTCTAAGTCTTAGACTCTAAGAAAAAAATAATAACAATGAATAATTGAAAAAATTAGTTTTCTTTAAATCTACTGGTAGGTAAGGATACATTTTCCAAATGTTTTGTTTTTATAGCATTCTGTTTAATTTAAAAAAATGGAGTTTTATTGTTTTTGTACAGAATCCTTCAGTTTTATTTTTCTTGAATTTTGGGTTCACTTCAACGTGGCGGATAATGGCGCTTATAGTTTATTTTGATTTTGGCATTTGACATAAAGCAAATGTTTCGTTTGTAATATATGTTCCTTACTTATTTTTCGCTGGTGGATTTTTTTATTTGGAACATTTACTGCCCAAGATAATCTTGATTATTGTTAATGTTTCATAAACTACAGTATTTAAATGTAAAAAATCTTTATGTGTTGTATAATCTTGATGTAAAAACTTGGACGTAAAAATACAAAAACGCCCGAAGAAGTCAAACAGGAAAATTATACGTTTTAAGTGATTATGATTTTATGTCTATCCAAGAAAGACATAACTAATTTTTCCATTTAAAATTTTAATTGTTTTAACTGTAATGATTAATATACCTTCCAATATTTCTTTTTCCAACCTGATCTTGAATGACATACAGTCTATATTAATAAACAGGTATTAATTTTAGGTCCTGTGCTGGTTTATTTTTGTTATTTACCTTATGTGTTGGTGTCGCAACGTTTTAATCAAGTAAGTGACAAATATTATGATACTTAAAATTAAGTAACGGTAATTTTCATCTGCTTAAGTGTTTTTAGTAATAATATAAAATGTTTAAAAAAATTGCTTTTAGTTTTGATGGTAAATATAAGAAATTAATT